CCAATAACTAGGCTGCTCGTATTATCCGTCCATGCAAATTACGTTATTAGTGTCATTTTGCGCACGTCAAGGGAGCATTGAATAAAGCCGAAAATAATAGTCGACTTCCTTGACGTCAGCCACACTTAAAAACTGCCGTATGCAAATACTGAAATTTCTGGATCATTCAACGACATTTTGCGATCCCTCAAGTTGGAACTGACAGAATGAAATACAAGTGGCTGAGAAAAGATAAAGAAATAAGTCTGTTCTTTTGTGACTGGTGCTTGGAGAGAGGAGGATACTGTAGTTAATATGAGGAGCCCCCCCCCCCCCAGTGGCACAGCGGTATGTCTGCGGACTTACAATGCTAGAATCCGGGTTTCGATACCCGTGGTGGGCAGAGCACAGATAGCCCATTGTGTAGCTTTGTGCTTAATTACAAATAAACATAATATGAGGAGAAGAGGCAGATAGACGAATATATAGTGTAACTATGAATAGACAAATATGGCTAAAAGGAATACTTCTTGGCGACAGAGAAATTAGGAAGAGCTGGCTGGCCCTGTGAAGGGTTTATTAAATATAGATATAGAATATTGGACAATACACAAATTGGAATTATCACAAGTATATTATTGTTTATTGCTAAACCATGTATTTTACTCAAATTGAATAAAAAAGTCTTTATGTTTATAATTTTACTGTCGTAAATTATCACTCTTTAAAGTGGCGAATGTTACTCTTATTTTTAATACAAGGCCTGATATGAGTTTGTCCTGGAAATTATAGGTTAGTCTTTCTTTTTAGAGGAAAATATTTCTAGTGCTTGATGAAGGCAGCTTTGTATAATCATTTAGTGAAATGTGGTGATATGATATCATAAAAGAAAACCAATATGGATTTACTTTTTAAAAATATTACTAGGCATGTGGATAATAAAAAGGGTGTTGACTTGGTAACAAATTAGATTTAGAAAAATACAGAGGGCTACACGGATTAGCTACGAAAAAACATCCATCCTGTGTGGTTGATGAAAAATAGTTACTTGCATTGTAGAATGATTTTATGAAAGAACCAAAAAAATTGTTAGAAGTGGAAAACCTCAGAGTTCAGTGACTGGGCCATTGCTTTTCTTTATTTACATTAAGGATACTAATACAGAAAGGCATAATTATAGAATCAATGTTTAACTCAATCATGACTGCATGGCATTTTTTGCATAATTTGTGTATCAATGCATAATCAGTGGCTGAGTTCATAATCACTGCATAATCAAAATCTAAATTTCTAGGCTTAGTTTATTTTTTGTTGATCAGCAAGTGGTACCTGCTGCTCAGATAGTTTGGTCAATGCCTGTCAAAAGACTGTCATCAAAAATAAGTAATAAATTGCTCTTAAGGGTATAATTGTATTATGCTGTTTTTCATTTTACTTTAAGTAAGGGTGATACAATTTTAAATTTTGACATATAATTACTGCATAAACATCAGTTTTGTGGTACATAATTTCAAATTCTTGGCTACACAATTTTAATCTTTTTTTTTGCTTCATAAAAATTGTGGTTCTATATAATTAGTACAGCTTATTGATAACATCACATACTTAGATATTTCTAACTTTACTAAGGATGTTGAGGTACTATAGAGTGACTTGGTTCAACAGGTAATTTGAAGAAATATTTAACAAATATTTAATTATAATACATACAAGATAATGCATTTTGAGCACAGCTTTTCTACAAATGGAAACCCTCTCAACAACATGACTGCAGTAAAGTATCTTGACAGAGTAGTTCATAATTAACTTCACTCAGCCATCAAATTGCTCTGTTGCTAGCAGTAAAGTAAATAGCATTTTTAGGTTTTATATATATATATATATATATATATAA